TGAGATTCCTAACTGGGGCCGGATCTGGTGCTGAGGGGCCGGGCCTGGTGCTGAGTGTTCAGGTAATCTCTTGGGAAAGGCACACTTGGGCCTTCCAGAACCGGGGCTTCTGTGGTGTCTACACCCAGCAGTATCCCAACTGTGCTGGGCTACACACACACATACACACACACACTCCCCTGAACAGCTGCTGGCTGCAGACCAGGCAACAGCTCCAGAGTGCTGCACAGTCAGTATCAGGGGAAAGGTCCTGTGTGGGGCCTGGCAAGAGGCAGCACAGCCGACTCCAAAACACCAGTAGGAGTGAGCCCCGGGGGACCACATGCTCGGCTGCTGCCCTGTGCTGCTCAGAGTTCTGGGCAGGAGCGTGGGGTGAGAGGGGAGAGGCTGCCAGCTGTTCCATACCAGCCCCGGGTAAGTCAGAGCCTGGGCTCTGCAACCCGGGGAAAAAGCTGACCTGATAAGCTCCCCTGCTTGCTCAGACCCAACTGCTGCCAAGAGACCCAGAAAATGCTTGAGAACAAAAAGGCCATAAACACATTCTGAACCCTTTTACCAACTGGCTTCATCCCAAACCAAAATGAGAAAAGAATTGCTGGAATAAGTGTGTGTTTGTGTGTGTGTGTGTGTGTGTGTGTGTGTGTGTGTGTTAAACTGATGAGAAAAAAAAAACCCCTGTTTTGGGGATACTCAGTTTGGACCATTTAAAGTTAGGATCAAATGAATACAGCACATTTAATTTCTATACATTAGCCCTCTGAAAAAGCTGACCTGGTAAGCTGTAAAATCTTAGCTCCTCAAATTTCCTAAGTCTTAACAATTCTGGGAGAAAGGCAAAGTGTGTGCTTACAGATATTATCTATCGGTTTTATAACAACACTGCTGGGTTGCTATCCTTGACCCCACTTTACAGAGGACAAAACCAACGTTCAAATGGTACAATGTTCAGATAATTTGTTCAAGGTCACACTGCTGGTATTTAAATTCAGGTCTTTCAGACTCTCCAATTCATGCTATTTCCACTGTACTTCTCTGTGTGCAGACATTGATTATTACTAATACAATGTCCCAAGCCAGACCAATATTCAGCAGTAAGATATGGGAGTAACCGTTTGCTCGATGTATTCACTTTTTATAGGGAACTTATAGGTGTGCTATCACCCTGGCCATGGACCCAGGAGCCAGGGGCTGCATTCCATTTCTGCCTCTCAATTACTTCCTCTGTTCTTTTCCTTGATGAAATAAATATGGTGCCACTTGCCTTTATTCCTGTTTCATAAGACTCGGTGAGTTCAGGTCTCCAAGCTGTTGCCAATATCTCAGCCACCAAGTAGCTACACATTTTGCTAATTGTTTTGTTTGTTTGTTGTTTGGTTATAGCCAGACCATATCTACTTTGTTTGGAATTGAGCTGAAAGCTTTTGGAGGGGCCCAGATGACAGGCGTGACCTATGGCCTGAGGAGACTGGCGTGGTTAGCTCGCCATCTGGAAAGTTCTATGAGACCTTCCCTCCGTGAAGGGCTTGTTTCTAGGGAGTCATCAGCATGTCTAGGAAGTTGCAGTTTTGTAGGGATGGGATCAGCCCAAGAAAAGTGTGCAAATGTAACTTCTCTTTTGCTATCAAGCTGAGTCTGAATGCAAAAATCACGTTCCATATAAAATAATGGGACTAAAACCAAACACCTATGCATGTCTGACCTGTTAACAAAAGGAAGCAAAACAAGCACTAAAAAACATTTCAGGACTTTTCTGATATGATCAATTGACTAAAATAATTTTTAGATATATCTGTTAAATTGCTGAATATCTGCCAATCTTTGTGAGAACATAGAAAAAGGACAATCAACAGGAAGACCTGTATTCAAAAACATTTAACATTAATGAGCACCGTTTTCAAGAGATTTACACGATGAAACCAACAATCCTTACCCTAATTCTATTCTTTTCAAGATACAGAATCTCAGTGGAGAGAAGGCAAGTAACTTATCCAAGCTCATACACTAGATGGTTCTTTGACTCCATTGTTCATACTTGGTTCATTTTCCAATTCACCCATTTGTTTAATAAGTATTTTTTTGGCTGTGTCATCTGAATGCTATTCTAGGTCCCAAGGATGCACCAGTGAACAAGCCCAAAGCAGACCCCTCTGCCTACAGAGCTGGCACTTAAGTTGGGGGTGACTCCCAAACTGCAAATATCATGTTTAGCGTGACACCCACACCTCCTGCGACTCTGTTCATGAAAATTCACACCTCCAAAGGGTGGCAAGTTCCAGGTCTCTGTGGCAGGTGTTTGTTTTAGGGAACTGAGTTTACACTGTGGGTCCCAGAGTAACAGATTGAAGCCTCTCTCTTGTTTGCCTCATGTGTTCTGGGGGTGGGGAGTCTAAGATCAGGGTGCCAGCGTGGTCAGCTCCTGGTGAGGGCCCTTTTCTGGGTCACAGTCTTCTTGTTGCCTCCTCACATGGTGGAAGGGGCTACGAAGTGCTGTGGGGTCCCTTACATATGAAGGTCTGACAATTAAGTTTGCGAACTTGTTGTAATGATGTTGCTAACCTTTTTTGATATCAGAGGGGTTATTCACTATGAATTTGTACCAATCGGACAAATAGTTAAAAGAAGTTTACTATTTGGAAGTGTTGAAAAGGCTGCATGAAAAAGTTAGACGACCTGAACGTTTTGCCAACAATTCATGGCTCTTGCATCATGACAATGCACCAGCTCACACGGCACTGTCTGTGAGGGAGTTTTTAGCCAGGAAACAAATAACTGTATTGGAACACCCTCCTTACTCACCTGATCTGGCTCCCAGTGACTTCTTTCTTTACCCAAAGATAAAGGGAATATTGAAAGGAAGACATTTTGACGACATTCAGAACATCAAGGGTAATACGATGACAGCTGTGATGACCATTCCAGAAAAAGAGTTCCAAAATTGCTTTGAAGGGTGCACTAGGTGCTGGCGTCAGTGCATAGCTTCCCAAGGGGGGTACTTCAAAGGTGATCATAGTGATATTCAGCAATGATGTATGTAGCACTTTTTCTGGGATGAGTACGTGGACTTAATTTTCAGACCTTGTAAGATTACTAATCCTATGCCTGAGGGCTCTACCCTCATCATGACTGAAGCACCTCCCAAAGGCCCTGCCTTCTAATACCATCATCTTGGGGGTTAGGACTTCAACATATGAACTTTGGGGGACCACAGTCAGATCATAGCACCTGCCTAAGTCAAGCCAAACCAAGGTGTGAGAGTAACTCACACCTTGGTTTTAGATGCTTTACACACATGAAGGGGGGAATGAAGGGCAAGTCAGAATACTAACTAACTAGCTAACTAGCTAACTAACTAACTAACTAACTAACTAACTAACTAACTAACTTCTTCAGCCCTAAGAGCCTCAATGGTCAGCGGCATCAGCGATCTGTATGTAAGAAACTGAAATGATTCCCAGGGGGAAACTGAGGCTGTTAAATCTTCTGAAAACTCTCTGTGAACACTAGTTCCAGTTGCTACAATACCTTTCCATAAAAAAAGACAATTTCACTCAATTTTTCAGTCTCAAGGTTATAATGATTTTCATCTCAGAGGAGGGGACGTACTCAGACATCATGAGTCCTTGATTTCAAACAAATTTGTCTTGCTTTCTGTGAATACTGACAAAGCTGCCATTGATGGAACCGAGGGCATCAAAGCCCAGAGCTCATCCCCAGGCCTGGGGAGATTCATCAGATGATGAATCAGCTTTGAGAAACGGGCTCTGTATGGAACACATCGGCTAGTCTCTTTAGGGTACACCCAGGATTTCATTATAAACCATCCATCCCATCTTGTGTAGAGACTTCCCTGCACAATTCACACACACAAAATGGCTGTGCTGTTTCACAAAAGACACACCATGAGTCGCAGAACTGCTGTGCTTGTACATGTCATAGCCTGGTGGCTGGGACACCTTGGAGAAGAGCACCCAATAAACAGGGAGCTGAGGGTGTTGTGTTTGTGTTAGGTGTGGGACCCATGCGGCATGCCAGCCCACTCATTATTCACAACGCCTGCATCTGGTGTCAGCGGGGAGGCTCTCCTGCCCCACCGACTAACTGAAATCCTTATGCATCTTTTACCTAGCTTTTTAACCTGCTCTAGTTTACTTCTGCAGCTGAGTGTGCAAAACAATTGCTGGTTTTACATATTCGCATGGCCTTGGTTCTGCTGAGCCCAGTGCCAGCCCCAGTCAGCCTCTGCAGACCTGAGTTTGACGGGACCTGAGAGCTTGCTTTCTCATTTTATACACGAGGATACGGTGGCCCAGAGACCTTGAGCACCTGGCCACGGTCCCAGCTACTTATTCTTAGAGTCAAGGCCAGACACCAACTATCACGGCTGGGTCTTGGGATCTTTTTACTCATCTATTCAACATTTGAGAAGCACTTAAGCCAGTTCTTTGAGGAACTGAGAATAGGGAGACGAAAGGAGGTTTCTGTCTCGATGAGTTCATGGTCTTGTTGCTATGATTACAAGAAGTGCTGGGAGTTAACATCTAAGGGAGAGAAGCGTTTGGATGCTGAGAGGAAGAGAGCCTTCCCACGGTTGCCATCCTCCACTGAATGCAACTGAAACCAAATCAGCACAAATCTGTGATTCACTAAATAAAACCACTGGAAAATAAGGTCAAAGCGACCAAGGCCAAGAGAACCAACACAAGCGTTTTTTTATCCTTCCTGAGAGGCGAGCTGAAGGGTGGCCCCCAGTGACAACTGCGGGACTCATGCCTGGGCCTTGTCCCTAACCCCAGCGCTGCCTGGGATGAATCACACACCAGAGAACAACGGGGCTATTTCTTAAGAGTCATTTGTCAATTTGACATCCCTGCCTAGAGTTATTTAGGGCTTTCTAAAGACACCCCTTCCCCTCCCTGCTGCAGGAAGCACCTGTGAGGCTGTTGAGCTGTGGTTTTGCTCAATAGCACTTTGATATCCCATAAGGCCATCAATTTCTCTTCTGTCCCTGCCTGTGTGGACTTTGGCTGACACAGAGATAGGGAAGCTCTGAGAGGACGATGATGACGAAGAGGCTGGTGAATTCCTCTGGAGGTGGGTTTCTTGCTGATGTCTGGGGGCGGAGAGGAGGTTGGGGCTCTTGCAGGCAAGGGCAGGCTGAGTCCTCAGCTGGCTGGCCTTGGCACGTAACTGTGATGCTCCCACGAGGCCACATCTCCCTCCTGAAGCCGAGCTATGCTCTTTGCCAGCTGCTTAGAGAGAAAGCAGGCCTGCATGACGAGTGTGACTGAAGTAAAATGGGTCTTCTGACTCAGGTAAAGGACTTAGGGAGAGGGAAACTGGAGAGGAATCAGAGGAGAAAAGCACAAATCATCAGAGGACTTGGTGAATGGACCTCTGCAAGCAGTTAGGGAAATCAGATTTGTTAAGTCTGGGGAAGGCCAGGATGATCTGAGAGCCAGCCTAACTACAGGAGAATTATTGTACAGGGGTTAGTGGCCATTTCCAATGAGAATCTGATGTGGGCTAAAGGGGCTTAAACTGCCGCCTGAGGGTTTTGTTCAGCGTAGGTTGGCCTGTCTGGGTTACTGCACTGTTCTTATTCCTGAGGTGGCGGGGCTCCTTGGAGATTTGCATGAATGAAATGACGTCCTCACTGCAGGAATGGTTTACAAAACGTCTTAATGGCACATGGGTGTCTCCCTTCACGCTGCCCAACAGCCCAGCTGACCCTTAGGCCTCAGTTAGTTTGGCGGAGTCAAGAATCATTCTCTTGACATCCTAAGACACTCCGTCTCTGCCTCTTCCAATCTATTTTGCATACTGAGGCCCCACTTATCTTCCTTACATCCATCTTGGGTCATGGCAATGTACTCTTCAAAAAACACTGATGCCTCATTCATTCATTCATTCAACAAATAATGAGCATCCACTGTGTGGAGCACCTATTATGTGCCTGTCACTATGCCAAGCTTTGTGCATATAATGTGGCACAAAATGCAGCAGAGTCTCAAGGAGGGCACTCTGTCTTCATATCCTTGTCCTGAAATTTTTCAAGGCACCCACCGTCAGGTTTTAACATGTCTTTCTGGCTTTATGTCGACTACAAAACCTTCTCTTCTCTCAGCCTAACCTGTTCACCATGCCCAACCCACCCTGGGCCTTGGATCTTGTCATTGCTGATGCATAGACTATCCTTATCCAAAGCCCATCTCTCCTTCTGAGCTAACAAGTCCCTCCCGCTCCTTTAGGGGGATTTCTGTGGCCACTTGTGGGGGCACCTCAGCCCCCACAGTGCTTACTTGGTGCTAGGTATTTTCCACCTGAGTACAGATTGTGCACCAGGCAGCCGCTGGGCTACAGTGACCACTTCTGCCCTCCCTCACTGTGGATAAGACCCGAGAGAGCCATGACCAAGGGGCCTGAGAGTTCCCAGGCTTAAAGGGCGTGGACTTCACTTGCCAGAGTGGAGAGTTATATGAGACACCTAGATGGAATCCAAATGTTTGCTCCTTCAAGTGTTTGCCTTGCAGCAGGCCTGTGGGTCATTAGAATAAGTTGATAAAGAGTGGGGGAGTGCGAGAATATCCTGGACAGTTTAAGGAAGGGACCAACCAGCTTCAGGTTGGGAGAGTTTCATTGGCTCATGGCCTCTCAGAGCCTAACGTACCTCAGGAGTGTCCTTGTCCAGCCTCACCCCTAATGTGAGACCCTCTACAAGACCCATCAGTGCCTGCTTTTTAGGGGTGTGAAGTTCTGGCCAGAGGTTGGACATCATTTAGACTCCCTTAGATCTTCTTTAATTCTTTGAGTCTATGATTTTCTGTGACTCCCAAATTTCATCTTTAATTTATTCTTGGTACTGGTGGGAAAATCAGGCCAGCTATCCCTCCTGACCTCTGCCTGGATGGTAGGGTGTTGACTGTTTTTATATCTTCACGTGGAGGGTCTGAGACCCCCTAGACCATGTGAAGGATTTAACCCTCCCTCATGGGACTGTGAGGACAGGAGGACGATCTGAGGAAGAAGTCATCTGCCAGTAGACTCGGTGGCTTCACAGAGCATTCTTGTCCTCATGTGTAGCGGCTGTGGTTTAATCTGGTAAACCACTTCTTCTGTAAAACAGACCCTGTCCCCCTGGCCACATGGCACATGTGAGCCAGGTGGGCCAGTCACATATCTCACAAGCTTAGCCACAGTGAAGGGGCCAATCAGCGCGGCTCTTGGGGATTTCTTTCCAATCCACAAGGTGGGGGATCTGGTCTGAGAAAATGGCATCAGGGAAGAGCAAAAAGGAGAGAGAGTGATCGAGGGGGGCTCCCGATCACGCTGACTCTTTATACGGTAAAGCTGGTGTGGAATGTGTTTCTTCCATTTGTAACCCATGAGTCCAGAATAAGTCAGCAACTTTCTCAAATTTCCTGTTTTCCAGACACTGTGAAAAGTGAACTAAAGATCAGAAACTATTAGTCTCAGAGTCCAACCTGTCCATGATGGTTTGGGGAAGAATCAGGAGAAAGAAAGGATGGGGAATAATGCAGATGAGAAGTGCAATGGTCTTTCGTGTGAGGTCCTGTGTGATGAGACCCATAGGTGATTAATGGGGTCCTGCTACCTGTGTTCCTTTTATGCCATAGCTTGGCTAAAATAAATCATGGCCCCCAACTTGTACAGACTCAGGCCAACCTTGGGGCGCCAAAGTGAGTGTGGTTCCATTGTGTGGACTTGGTGCTACGTGTTTGGTAAAAACCAGGAGTTTAGCGAGTACTCAGTGGATCCCCAATGTTTGGCAGCCAAGGGGAAAGAAAGGAAGAAAAATAGAAGTAGGGTCAGGACGTGAGGAACATAGAGAACTACGGAGCGCGAGCTATGACTCCACCAACAAAATGCTGACGGAACATCTCCTATGTGTGAGACGCTGTGCTAGTTTCAACCTGTCATTTCAAAGCAACAAGCAGAAACCTTATTTGTGACGACAGACGCGAAGAGCTAGGTGTGTCTAGTGTAAGAAAAATGCACACCCAGGTACGAAAGGCAAGTAGCAGAGACAATTACTCATGATTGCTGTTGAGGAAGGAACACGGGTGAATGAACACACTTTCCAATTAGAAGTTAACACCTATGGAAAAATGATTTTATGATATTCATTTAAAGCCTGGAACAGTGCCCACAAAGAGGCCGTAGCGTCTCCCTTGGATGGAGGCTCTGGAGAACAGTTTAGACGGCCTCATGGCTGCTTCACAAGCTTGATTATAGGCCTGCGTCTCTGCCCGTCACATCTGCTTTTCAGTAACACTATGGGGGGAGGCACTTTATCCCGTTGGACCCTTAAACATAATCTGTCCAAAGCTTTTGCATTTCTTTTTTTCCTAGCAGAGTTAGTTTTTCATGTTTGTTTTGGGAAGCGAAGGCATAATATATATATTTTTTTTCTGCCCCCCTCCCCCCGCCCTAGTAAACAGTTGAACAAAATGTATACAACTTGGTCCAAACTTTTTAAATGCTTCCAGATTTGGGTCGAGTGTTTATGTAGCTTTTAGAAAGTCAGAATGGATCTGAACGGTCAGAGGGTACCTGAACTTTTGACTCTTCCCCTCAGCTCACACGCTGGGAAAACCGGCCATTCTTCAGCCATATCTTGCTCACAGAGCCTTTCCCCTCCTGCAGACTGTGCCACTGCCTGCAAGCTGAAAAACACCCCAGGGAACCATCGCACCATTGTGAAAGGGCTAATCGCCACATACCACTTGGTTTTCCTTCCTGGCCTGCATCACAGGCCATAGCCTGTGGTTCCCACATTGTTTCTGTCATCATCCCAACCAAGCATAACTCTTGATCTTGAGTCTGGGCAGGACAGCCCGTATCAGCACAAACTCTTATGTAAGTGGCTGTGGGGAGAGCTGGCAATAAACAAACATTTTTTTAGCTCTTGTTTTCTCTGCAGCCTTTTTTTCTCTGAGGCCGCTGCTGTGCTCCTGTGACAGGATGGCAAGTTCCCAGCTTAGAAATGTCTTGCGCTGCATTTCTAGATTCTAAAATAGAGCGATGTGGACCCAAGTGTTCAAAGGAACTAAATTAATGAGAACGGGGACATGAGGATGGATTTCTCTATAAGGGGATGTGAGGTAGCATTTCAAAAGTGTGTCCTCACATCTGTGCTGCTGGTCACTCTTGGTAAATTACACGGTCACTTCAGAGCAAGGGGTGTGGGGACCAGTCGGTGACAGCAGCTAACTAACCTGGGAATGGAGAAGTGACTTCGTGGCCACCAAGTCCTTTCTCCCAGTGTCAAAGTCAGGTTCACTGTATGTACAAACTACATACTATGAGAACAATGGGACTGAGTATTTGTAGACTCCATGTTTCCTTGGGCCACTCCATCTCAGAAACTCAGAGGAGGAAGAGTTTACGATGGCACCCTCACAACACTGCCTTTAACTCCCTTACTGAATGTAGTAGAAATCCCACTGAAGTAGGCAGTCCCGGGCTTCCTCTCAGGGACAGTCAGACAGGTCTGACAGGCTCCCATTCCCTGGGGATGACCCTGGAGGCTAAAGCTGTTGCTCCTGTGACAGACAGATGGCATCTGTGAGGCTACCTGGCATCGGCTGCTGGTCTGAGCAGTCAGTTCTCCCTCCCCTGTGATGGTCTCCATTTGAGGCCCCCACCAGAATGAACCTGAGCTCTCAGCCCTTCAGCAGCTGTCAGCTTCTCTGGGGGTACTCGCTGTGAGAAAGCCAGGCCTATTTCTCTGTATCTCTGAGTAACTCAGATCATTTGCCTATGAGTTACCGAGTGCATTTGTTATTTTGGAGAGTTTCTGTTGGTTTTCCTTGAGTCTACTGAGACCCCTGAGAGAGGACACACTGCCTCTGCCCAGTCACGTGGCTGCACGTTCAGGAAAGCTCCACTCTGCTCGCTGGCAAGGCTGAGTCGGGGGCTGTGCTAATCCCACCTCTCTATCATCGTCTGTTAGCATCCAGAGAACTAGGACAGAGCCACTGGGAAGGGAAGCGGCTCGCCCATGGCCACTTGGCTAGTCCTTGGCCACGTGGAGCTAGGATCGGCTACAAAATTTGTGGGGCGCAGAGCAA